TTTGCGAAAAATCTTAAGTCTGTAGCGGTAAATAATTCCCCCAAATTATTGACCACAGCAATCATCACTGAACATCGGATGCTGACCCTTACTGTTTAAGTCGACATATTTAGCTGAAGGCTTCCGGTCAAGCATCCTTGCCATTTGGTATTCGGTTGTGTCACGTTCGTGCACGACCACTACCTAGTTAAGCATTCAATACGATTTACTATTTGGTCCCGAAATATATCTCGTACTTTGGACGATCATTTGTGGCGTTTTGCATTGTATTTGGTACACGACGAACAAATACTATCGAAGTTGTTGGTATAAGATCTTGAGTTAGTATAATCCATACAATTCGCGAACGTCAATACCGTTAGCCTCTAAACTGGTGAGCCCAATCGCCAACTTCATCTCCAATAAGTACGCAGATAAACCCGGTGAGTTCGTTCCCTTTTGTAGTCGTTCTTGAACTATATTTTAATCGGCATACATTTCGTCATGAGTGATCCTAGTCCCAAAGTTATTCATATTCGCTCAACTGCCATAACAATTCAGCTGGTACCATATTGGCCAGATAATGCTGAAACGTGGTTTCAGATAGCTGAGTCTGATTTTTGTGAGCATGACATAACCGATCAACGTTCACAGTTCCTCGCAGTTATTCACGCCTAACCGCGAGAATTCAGCAAGTGCGTAACTGTGCAGATGTGGAGTCCAGAGGTAAGCAACTCGTACGAGTTGCTCAAAGCATTCCTCCTCAAGAGAAACGTACTCAAGTCTGGATGAATTAATTCGTAACATCGAGTTAGGGAATCAGTCATACGTGAGCATGCCAAAGTCTGTTCGATGAAGAACTGTTCAGAGAACTTTTCTTATCCAAACTGCCACAGTCAGTACAGACTGTGCTGGTGACACTTCAGTGTGTTCTTATGGATGACATAACTATTTCTGTGGATAAAATTCTAGAAATAACTGCACGGTCAGTTCCTGAAATATGTTCGGTGGCCAAACAGACTTCGAGTAAGGATACTGCAGTGGTAGAGTTATGCAACTCCATCCAGCAGATGCTTAGGTCAAACATGCCTAGCAATTCCTCCTACTGTCGTCCTAAATCCCTTCAGCGGCAAAACGCAAGTGGTCGATCTAAGTCCAAGCCACATTCACTGAGAAACCCTGACTGGTGCTGGTATCACAACACCTATGGCCAGGAAGCGAAATGTTGCCAAAAACTTTGGAATTTCATCAATGTCTCAAAGTCTGTGGGAAACTATCCAGCCGTCACGCGTTAGTGGCGACCGTCGTCGGTGGCACTAACCGCTTACTTTACATCCATGATGTGATCAGCCTGACTTGATACCTATTCGACACAGGCGCCGAAGTCAGCGTCCTTCTTGCTACAGCAGCAGATCGACAGAAGGAACCCACCTTCAACTTACAGGCTGCAAATGAAAAACCAATTACAACCTATGGTCGGAAATACGTCTATCCGAACGTAGGTTTATGCAAACCTATTCAGTGGATTTTCCTTATCGCTGACGTCACAATACCCATTATTGGCACGGGCCTGCTTAATCATCATGATTTACTCGTAGACGTCCGCCGAAAACGACTGATTGGCAATACTTCTAGTCTGTCTATCAAAGACATCACCTACATAGGTCCTAGCTTGTCACTCGTTAAGATGAAGGCAATCCTTGACCCAACTTTTCAACCGATTGTTGACAAATATCCGGATCTTAATTGCCCATCTAACGATCTCCTGTGCATAACCAGCAATGTTATGCACCACATCATAACCTCAGGACAGCCCGTGACATCTAAAGCATGACGACTGGCCCCTGACAAACTGAGAATTGTTAGAAATGAATTCGACCATATGCTAATCCTTCGCATCATTCGACCTTCGAATAGCCCATGGGCATCCCCACTGTACATGGTGCCAAAAAGGATATCAACGATTGGCGACCCATTGGTGATTATCGGCGAGTGAACGCCAAAATAACCCCTGATTGATACCCATTGACTCACATACATGAACTGAAGGCAACGTTATCTGGCGCATCTATATTCTCTAAAGTCGACTTGGTTAAAGCGTATAATCAAATCCCGATGGCAACGGAAGATATTCCAAAAACGGCTATAATCACGCCTTTCAAACTTTTTGAATTCTGCGTATGCCGTTAGGTTTCCGGAATGCAGCACAAACATTCCAACGCTTCATCAGTGAAGTATTTCGTGCTCTCGACTTTGTATACACATACTTAGACCACTGCCTCATCGCCAGCCCAGACAAGGAAACGCACCTTAGACACTTGGACTTGGCATTTGAAAAATTACGCCAACGTGGATTTACCATCAATATTCAAAAGTGTCAGGTAAGCCTTGACTCACTCGACTTCCTGGGTCACACTATTGACTGCCAGGGGATTCGCTCACTGGCTACTAAAATCGAGGCGATACGGAACTTTCTAGAGCCACAAACATTGAAAAGAATTCGCACTTTTGGCGGGTTGGTAAGTTATTACAGACGGTGTATTCCGAACTGTGCCTCTCTGATTCAGCCATTGATAGACCTTCTACGGGGGAATAAAAGGTCTATCGAACTTGACACATCTGCTCGACGTGCTTTCACTCAGTTAAAAAGCTATTGCGGATGCCACACTTCTAATATATCAGGATCCAACAGAACCGTTAAGCATCTCGTTTGATGAACCAGACACTGCAATCGGCGCAGTTCTGCAACAACTAGTTAACAAAGAGGTAACCACTTGCTTTTCTCTCGAGGCGCCTTCAAAAAGCTGAGACGAAGTACAGCACATTCGGGAGAAAACTTCTGGCTATGTACTGAGCTATACGTGATTTTCGATATTCAGTTGAGGGTCGTGAATTCATAATTTTGACTGACAAAAAACTCTGACGTACTCTCTGAAATCAACTTCAGATAAGTATTCATACAGGGAATCAAGACATCCAGATCACGTTTCACAGTTTACATCGGATATTCGCCATGTATATGGAGCGAACAACACTCTGGCAGATGCCTTGTCGTGCATAAGTTACCTGGTCCAAATAGACGGCATAGACCTCGTGAAACTGGCTCATCTTCGAAAAGAAGATGCCGAGCTTCAAGATGAGTTGTCGAAATCACGACTGCAATTAACCGAGAAACCCTTAGGCATAGAAAGAGATACTATTCTGCGTGACATTTCCGCGAATACTCCTCGTCCCATCGTGCCTAAAAGCCTTCTCCACAACGTCCTCAATACGTTGCATGACAAGGGAATGGGCATAAGGGTGCTTAGCTCGCCAAAAGTATAAGGTAGTAAAACACACCAGAAGCCCTCTTGGCACCTTTCTTATCCCCGATGCTCGTTTCAAACGCGCTCATGTAGATTCGGTTGAACTCCTTCCGGAATCTCATGGATATATCCATATCTTAACCTGCATCGACCGTTCCACACGATGTTCTTAGGCAGTCCGTATGAAGGATGGATCTGCCGAAACAGTCGCATGCGTTTTTGTCGGACGATGGATTGCAAGCTTTGGATACCCATCATCCGTAACAACTGATCGCAGGCGGCAATTCGAAAGCGGCTTATTCTTCGCTTTGACTAAAATCCTTGGTTGTATGCGTTTTCGAACGGCAGCCTACCATCCTCAAGCTAATGGTATGGTAGAACGTCTACACAGATAGTTGAAAGCTGGTTTATCAGCTGCAAGCAACACCCATTGGACTGAATCCCTTCCGTTAGTTTTCCTGGGGTTAAGAATCGCATTGAAAACCGATGCTTGTTGTACTACCTCAGAGCTAGTATATGGCACGACACTACGACTGCCAGGTGGGTTTGTTTCTCCCTCTTGCTTCCTACCGGCTGTAGATCACTCCTCAAACGTCAGAAGTCTTACAAACGCAATGCGTTCAGTTAAACCCACTCCCCTTCGACCACAGTCGATTGATGTCTCCGTTCACCCCTGTATAAAAGCTTCTCCACACGTATTTGTTCGTCGTGACTTTGTGCGTCACCTTCTAGAATCCCCGTATGACGAACCATATACAATAATTAAACGTACGGATAAATTCTTCGTCTTAGACAAAAAAGGCTGTGAAGACCCCATCAGCATTGACCGTCTGAAACCGGCTTACTTGGAAGATAATCCTATTAGCCTAGAGCTAAACGTACCCAATAATCCACAAGTAATTGAATATCCTTTAGTCCTCGAAGAACTCTCGAGCACGGTGAAAGCCACGGAACCTTCGGTCGAGCCCTCTAAGAAAATGTATTCTGGACGTAACGTAAGATTCCCAGAATATCTTCATACCTATACCACATAACTAAGTGGTGCTACTCGCATAACTAAATCGTTTGTGGTATTAATAATTATTTCTTCTTTTCAGACGCATCAACTTTTTATGTGGCATCACTAGACACAAGTAAAAGCTTTTTTCTAACAACCGTACATTTTACATGCACTCAAAAAAAAATAAAATTAGATGTAAACTTCGTTCAATGTTTTAACGTTTACATTATTTTACTCTATTGTGGGTGCACATCATTTTTTTTAAAAACGCCGATTCGCTACATTTTCCTTAACAAGGTTCTTAGCATTCTTGTTTTCTTTTCTAGGTGCGACTGGCACTGGACAAGAAACAAACGAAGCCCGAGATCCAACGGACAAACAACAAGGAAGAGATGTACAGTCACCATATTAGCATAGGCAGACAGACCAGTGGGCACTCCGCCAAGCCTCTCCGAAGAGTTTTATTCACCCTTAAGGGAACCGTCGAGAATTCTTTTTACTTGCGGCTGTATATGCTTCGGTGGTACAGCCGTTAGGATGGCAGCCAACCATGCACATGGTACGAGGGCTATCTTCAGCTGACGCACACATGATATAAAAGATCAGTCTGTCAAATTTAGACTACCGATATCGCATGCTGAAAAATACTGCATGGAATTAAGGTATCATTAACAATGAGAATATTTTTCTAATGCTTGAGATGTCACATATTAAGGGTCACTTGGACTCCCCGCGAATTTCAAATGTCCTCGAAAGATTAAGTAATTGACCTTATTTGGCATATACAGTTGTAACTAGGACATTAAAATAATTTATAAATAATATGCACATATAACGTAATATATCATAGCCTTCTGAAATGCACAGTTATGACGTGCACATGAACCAAAATGCTGTTATTTTATTAGTTACCAGTACTTCGGGGATATAAATGCAAGTATTGAGGGCTTCATTTACTTGTAAATAAAAGTTTTCGTATATTAGTGTATTGTACTAAGGCTAATATGAGTTCTTCTGCCATCTTAACAAAAATATCGACGTCTCCAAAACTTGAAAATGCAATAGCTTTAAATTCGTAGTGCACTTTGGGAACTAATCACTATCTTGTGGTTGTGGTAGTTTTAGGCATGAGTTTCAGCTTTTTGTAGGAGTGCTCCTTAGGTTATGTACAGATCCGCATATGTGTCATAGGTGAGAAGCCAACGAAATAAAGAATAGTACCACCCAATTTAAAGATTTAGAGACAACTCTGGGTTTTTTTGTAGGAAATTCATGAGTTTGGGGGTTTTCAGGGGAAAATGTTGCATATCCCTAAATTTTCTGCACAAAGTTGCCACGAGCTTTTCCTAGGTCTCCTCCAGTTTTTTATTTGCGCTCATAATTCTGCTTGAATTTTTGCTCTTGACCATCAGATTTCAGATTTATGTATTCAGGATAGAAAGCTTGGATCTTATGTTAATCGTTTTCCAGTAAATTTATGTGCTTGTCCAAACTCTTCTTGAATAAATCAGTTGAGGTTGCAGACACCAGTTCTTCTGGAAGTCGGCTCCGAGAGTTTCTGACTCGGTGTGAGAACCAGTACTCAACCGCAGTATCATTTCTTCTTGTCTTTTGAACTCTCCTGCTATGCCCTCTACTATGTTCCGACCATGCACCTAATTCTGCATGGATTGTTGCTCTTGACCATAATCAGACATATAAAGAGGAATAAATGTATGAAGTATATGTATTATTATTATTGTATCCTTTAATTCCTACAGGAACATAGGGCTTCAGCCGTGCGTCTCCATTGCGTTCTGTTCTCTGCTAGAGTCTTCACCTGGCTCCAAGTCTGCCCACACGTTTTCATCTCCTCTTCACATGACCTCCTCCAAGTCACCCTTGGACGACCAACTCGCCGCTTCCCTTTCGGGTTCCACTCGAGGGCTTGTCTAGTGATGTCACTTGATGGTTTCCTAAGAGTATGGCCAATCCATCTCCATTTCTTCCTGCCTATTTGTTTCACAATCGGTGCCTGGTTGGTTCGTTCCCAAAGATCCCTGTTGCTGATCTTTTCTGGCCAGCCATCTGATCTTGAGTATTGAGTGAAGACAGATGTTGATGAAAGTCTGTAGTTTGTTCGAAGTGCCCCTCGTGATGCACCAAGTCTCTGATCCGTATAGTAGCACTGATTTCACATTGGAGTTGAAAATCCGGATGTTAATTTTCATGCTGAGTGCTGCTGACCTCCACAAAGACTTGAGAGTAGTGAAAGCTTGCTTTGCTTTCCCGATCTTCGCTTTGATATCCTCGTCAGTTCCGTCCACCTGTAGTTGAAACAATGCTTCCCAGGTCAGTGGGTAAAGGAGGTTGTTTCTCTCAGGTTCCTCCCATTTATGCTGCTTGTTGTCTGTTGTTGTTGCTACTGGCCGGGAATCTTCATCACTTCTTTTTTCTCTATGTTTACTTGGAGTCCTATCTTTGATGCTTCCTCTGTCAACTTGTTGCTTTTCACTTGCATATCTTCCAGTTTGTGGGAAATCAGATATATATCATCGGCGAAGTCCAGATCCTCCAAGTTTTTTGTGTGTGTCCATTTTATGCCTGTTTCCTCATTGCCCACTCTTTGTCGCATTATCCAGTCTACTGCAATCAAGAAAATCAATGGCGATAGTAGGCAGCCTTGTCTTACTTCTGTCCTCACTTCGAAGGGTTCCGTAAGTTTCCCATTGTGGATTACTTGGCATGCAGCATTGTCGTATAGCTGTTGGATGAGATGTATTATTGTCGGTGGCACCCGGTAGTAGCGAAGTAGTTTCCAAATCACCTCTCGATCGACGCTGTCAAAGGCCTTTTCAAAGTCGATGAAGTTGAGATAGAGAGGTGACTGCCACTCCAAGCTTTGTTCAATGATGATCCGTAATGTGGCGATCTGATCAATGCATGACTTGTTTCTCCTGAATCCAGCCTGTTCCGGTCGAAGTTTTTCATCCAGGGCATGTTTGATTCTCTCCAGGATGATGCGGCTTAGTATTTTGCTTGGGATGGACAGGAGCATAATTCCGCGCCAGTTCTTGCATTGACTTAGGTCTCCTTTCTTTGGTAGTTTGAATAAGTATCATTTCTTCCAATCCTCGGGTACTTTGCCTTCTTTCCACACCTTCTCCAGTAGTGGCGTCATCAAGTCCGCTGTTGTCTTTGGGTCCGTTTTCAATGCTTCTGCTGGGATTCCATCTGGTCCTGCTGCTTTTCCAGCTTTTAGCATCTTGATTGCCTTCAGGACTTCTGATTTCGTCGGGGGGTTGGTGTTCACTGGTAGCTCTGTCTCCGTTGTTGGTATTGCTGGGCGCGTTGTAGGTAGTGGTCGATTTAGGAGTCTTTTGAAGTGTTCAACCCAGTGTTTCCTTTGCTCTACTTCTTTGGTGAGTGACTTTCCATTGCCATCCTTCACCGGCTTGATTTGTGTCAAACGTTTGCCCGATAGGTACCTAGTAGTTTGGTAGAGTGTTGCGAGTTCTCCTTTGCCTGCAGCTTGTTCTGCCTCACTTGCCATGGTTTCATAGTACTTTCTTTTGTCTTCTCTGGCACTCTTCTTTACTCTTTTGTTCAGTGTCTTGTAGCTTGCGTTCAAATCCTGTTTTTGTTGCTCATCGGTGCACTGGAGAATCTTTTGTTTCACCATCCCTCTCTCTTCTATTAGTTTCCAAGTGTCCGTAGTGAGCCATTGTTTGTCCTGTCTCTTCTTTCTGCCTAGAACTTCCATGCAGGTTTGACTCCACACTGTCTTCAAGTTGTTCCAGTGCTTTTCGACGCTGACCTCTTCGCCAGTCTTATTAATGTTATTATCTTGCAGCTGTTTTGACTACGTATAAAAGCTTATTCTGTAGTGAAGTTATCCCTTTTGATTTTGTCCTTCACTTTCTGAATGTTGAACTTGAATTGTAGCCTGTCTCGATTTGTTTTCATGGATTTCAGCTACACCTTGAAGGTTCTTTTAACTATATGGTGGTCTGAGCCCACATCTGCTCCCCTTTTCGAATTTGTGTTCAGCAGGCTGCGTCTCCACTTCTTTGAGCGACGTTGAGATGAAATTTGTTTGGTGTGTCCGTCAGGCGAAATCTATGTTGCTTTGTGTGTATCCTTGTGTTTGTACACGCTGCCTCTGATTACAAAATCATTGAAAGCTCAGAAGTCTGCTAAGAGTTCTCTGCTCTCATTCATTTCTCCGAGGGAGTCTCTCGACCCATAATCAGTTAGTTTGCTTCCTGCAGTGTCTGTTCCCAGTTTAGCTGTAATTCATTTCCCCTATGGGGATTTAGTTGTCACCACTTGGGATGTTGTCCATTACTGTTTGTAGTTATCTACAAAAGTCTTCCTTATTCTCTTGTTCCATGTTGTTTGTAGCACTTTGCGTAGCATTGGATAATTGTGACTTTCCTTCCTTTTGAGTTCAATCTTGCTGTCATGATCCTGCCGGATGAAATTGGTTCCCACTACATTAGGGCTTTGGCTGCCACAGGTGACATCATTACAGCCACTCAGTGTGCTCGTGGTTGCCGTCTGGGTGACGGGAGTAGATTCCTGACCCTTCAGTTGACAATTATGATAATCCACAACCATTCCATCTGCTCTCGCAGATTTCCAGGACTTCTGTACTATATCTTCGCATTTCTTTGGCTACCTGGGCAGCCTTCCCAGTCTTGTACGTACATTCCACGTCCCCATTCTTATTTTTGCTTTCATCGAGAGAAGACACATGGGCTGACTGACTGGCTTCCCGAAGGCCGGCATTCACCAGCCAGCCCGGTGTCATTTCGTCTCTCCGATTCGAGCGAAGAATAAGATTGTCATTTGAAGTTTTTGTATTTTTAATATATTTTCTGTGTGCTGAAGTTTCTCTAACGGTTTGATAAGTTTAGCGGTGTGGGGATTCTAGCCCCACTACAACCCTCCCTCTTTACTCGGGCCTGGGACCGTCTACAAACCAGCAAACTAGTTAACTGGGTGAGTATTCTTATTCTTATGAATAGGCCTTAAAACTGAAAGTCCTTGCTCACTAGCACATCGGGGACGGTCTTGTTTATCGTCTGCAGCATATCAAAGTTATAAAGTTAGCAGTCTAAGGACTCCAGTGTATATTGGACAACCGCTACATTGTTAACCCTATGTCTTTCTCCTCGTAAGACTGGACATTTGAAAGGCTGCAGAGCTCACATTCGCAATAAGAATGGCGTCTGACTGGTATTTGTTATTGAAGGTATAAGTGTCAGTTACTATGATGAATGCTTTTATGGGGTGATTTTAAAGTGATATAGGTGATACCACTAAAATTACTTTAAGTTGCTTTGTAGACTATCCTAAACATTTAAACCTATCAACATTTAACCTACTCTGCGCAAATGAATTTAAATGTTTACATTTCTAAAACAAACATTTGGGTTAAAACTAGTATTTGTTAACATGTGTTTCAGATATAAGCGTTTTCTTTTAGTTTTGCAAAATAATCTATTCCAATTTCGTTCATCCGCTCTGTCTTTTTCATTGAATTAGACGGTCGCTTAATTAATGAGATTTCTTTACTGGTACGTTTTTTATGAGGCTGAAGATATGGCTTTTGGAATCAATCGCTCTCTATCGGAGAGATTCAGGATTTAAACAGAGGGTGTTGTCCTTCATGTTTTATTGTTTGCCAGTTAACATTTTTGCATGATCAGTAAAGAAATCCTTGGTTTCTTGAAATAAATTATGATATTGAATTCAAATCTCGGAAACATGTTACGCATACTGATTGACTTCTATCTTCGGAAAGCAATCGTAGAAAGGAAAAAAATTAATGCTATCGGTACGTAAACTTATTGACTAAGACATGTTAGTAAGTACCTGAAACTAAAGAAATCTCTGTTCAGGGAGTCTTGATGAAATGGTTCAAAATGGCCCTACTGTATTCACTCCCCGTCATTTTTCAGGTTTCGAGATGATTCACAACCCTTCATTCAGTTAAAAATGTTTGCCTTTTTACATTAACTAACTGCATATTTTTTAGAAGCTAACCTGCATGCACTGGTCCACATATGTCAATAAGTCATTGTACGCGTAATATCTGGCAGTCGGTTAAAAGACGTGCGTTCTACAAAGCAGTTTCCCACTTTATTTATACCTTAGTGAGAAGTGAACACTGCAAGTAGGAAACCCGAAGAGGTTAGCTGTCTTTGAGCACAGAGGTTTGCCTTCTATCTCTCGTGTTAGTTAAGAGCGGTATAATATGGTGACACATATTGAGGTTAGGCGTAGAGTCAGTGATAGGTGAGGAAGGGGAGTCGATAGATGAAGTTGTAAGTCAAGCTGCACCGATTGACACGGCTAGGACACGTGTTGCGCATGACGAGCCACCTCACCGCCTGCCTTCCTCCACGAGCAATGTCACCTGACACAGGATTAGGTTGGAAAGGAGTTCTGGGTGGTCCATTTGCCACGTGACATCAGTTGACGATTTTTTCGAGAAGCTTGAAGGCTACCTGTTCGGGCTTCTCGAAGCAGTAAAATCCAATGGCTTGATACTCTCGCTGGTATGATGCAAAATCCTTCTCGATGTTGCAGATTCATTCAGCTATTTTGATCTGCCAGATTTATTAGGTTCTCGTGTTTTTCCAAGTTTCTATTATTTTCCTTGTACATTTCCAGTCTTTATAGTTCCTTCAAATGTGTGTGCTGAATGGAGTGTCGCAACTTCAGCTGCTGTACATTTGTTCATAGTTCTACATTGGATACTAAGTCAGTGTTTTCTCTAAAACAAAATTTGAAATCGTAACTGTCTATTACGTCACCGCGGTAAGACAGACTCAGGAGTATTGCGTTAGGCACCTGACCTCTAATCAAAGGGTAAAACGCTTCATCCACCTACACCCACCGATTGCTGGGAAGACATATAGTACCACCATCCGCCATTACCAGCAGTGGCCACCGACGATAGCACAGTAGGTAGTAGCACTTAAAACATTGAGTGACACCTGACCATTAATTAGTAAGGCTAATCGAGATGTCCTATACACAAATTACCGTACGTGAAAAAATATGGACTTTCACTAACTCATCAGGACTGACAACCTGCACGCCAGCCAACTGTCTCCGAAGTCTCACACTTTACGTGAGATCTCAATCACGACAAATCGGGAAGGTGGCATATACACTGAAGTCAAAAATGGCTAGGGATTAATACAGTGAAGTATGAACTAAATTTCCCAACGCATAGGTTTTTGAGGGGAAGACCGAGGTAAAAGGACAAGCCCCTACGTCATGGGCACAGGACGAGTATTGTTCCAGATCCTAGATTTCTTAGTCACAGGAAGGTTACGTGGAGCTAGGGAACACTGAATCTGGAACAATCAGCCGAATTCCAAACACTGGTGAGGCTTGTGTGTTCACATTGTCAACTTTCATCAATAGGTTAATAAGACAAACATACCCATCAACGTTTGACATTTTCGTCTATACCTCCAAACCTGAATCTCCATTTGGTCTCGTCAGTCCCTGCCTGGGAGGGAAGTCTCTACATATTGTACTCGTTATCAGAGAGCTCTATTCTACTGTACTGCCAAGTCCACCGCCGTGAAATGAGGGTGGCTTGTTTTAGGCATCAGGTTCTTAATCATTACGTCGTTCGCAGTACTAGGTGTGTGTTGAGTCTGTGCAATGACTAGTTCAGGAATAACTGAATAAAGGCATTACATTTAGTACCTATGTTATACAATATATGAACAGTTAAATGGTATAGAGTAGAATGTGCAGACATTAAGTGATCTGCTTTCGAACAATTTCTTTCCTACTTGAAAGTGTGGAATTACCTAATAAATAATTGAATTATTGAATTTTCTCCATCTCTTGACTTGAATATTAATTATCATATAGCGGTTTTACTGTAAGCCGAATAAAATGATAAACAGCTTAAATATCGCGAAGAACAAATGTTTTTGTTGAAGACTTAAAGGAATATGCATTATGATCATAGGAAATGTTGATTAGTCAGCTAAACACGAAGTATGGAAAGGGGATAAATTTTAATGCTAATCCTGCATAATCTGCTGCCACATTATATCCGTCAACTCTATTTTGTATTTTAGGATATTGAATTATGGAAACTCCCTGTGAATTACAGATAGAACCCAGTGGAGATGCTAATATAAAAGCTGACAAGTAAGTGTGTACCAATAATTTTATTGAATGCTTAGCATCTGCAAATCACGTAGGAGACGCCGTAGAACAAAGAAACAAACCGCTTCATCTCAACCTTTGCAGAAGACCGATGCTTCAGAAGCTCCAACTAAACTTCGTGTTCCTTTCATGAAGAAAATCATATTTGGTGAAGATGGAGAAATGCAGAACTCTTACACTGCTGATAAGTGGAATGTATGTGTATTCTCGTATTGTACGATTCTCAGGACGTTTCTGATTGCACACGAAGAGCGAAAAAGCGTTCAGGCTATGTGAGTTTTGCAAATATATATGCTGAAGAGAAATTTGCTCCACTGGAGTCCTTCACTTTGGATGGTACAAACACTGGATTGCGATGTAACGTCGTTGAGCGTGAAGACGCTGAATTTATTCATGATATACCCGTCAAATATAAAAAAGATCGAAACTTAGAAGTAGCGGTCTACAGTTTTCCTGTAAGTTCGACTTTCATCTATAATACGCATAGAATGATTATGAAACTGTTGTAAAATACTGGTACATCACACTGCAACAACTCCATCACTTTACCGACATGAACGAAAATCAAGTGAGCCAATGCTTTCATTAACTGTTTCAACATAAATTAATTCTACCATTGTATTTATCGTGTGTATAAAAAACACGTTGAGTCATAGAGAAAAATGAAGACAATTCAGCGAAGAAAATTTTATTTATCGACGAAGTTATTTTCAGAGGCTGTACGATCGTATTTATATTTAACAAGGACTTTAATTAGTTTAGCACTGAATAACAGAGGGTTGATATAGTTGGCACAGTTACTCAGAAGTAGTTTGTAAGAATAAAAGATCATGTAATAGTCAACAACACATTGGAAGCAAGGGTTTGAAATGTAATAAAGTGAAAATTATTATTCAATGAGAAGCAAGGTAGTTGAGTGTCCATTTGACAGTGTCAAAGGAAGCGAGAAAAAATTTAGTGGAATGTACAAAAGGAACATGTAAGGATGATAATAGTGAAATTATTACTAAAACTGGGAGCGAACGGGTAGGAGAAATTCTCAGATTATGGTAGAATAAGAGACTGAACAAGCCTTTTCTGCACAGAGTTCGGGGTTATATTGGTGAATCGCTAGCGCTAGTGCTAAAACCTAACAGCCTTTGTACCATACAATGTCATGTTAAAGATAATTTGAAAAGATGACTCTAGTGGAGGCGCGTGGCCTAAGTTCACAAGGTGCTCGAGAACCCAGCTAGCAACTGTCTTGCATTGTCCTCTTGATAACCATGTAGATAATGTTGGGAGATGCATTTTTGGAAAGTGAGTACCCTTATTACTCAGAAATAGAGTACTATATGTTTTTGGAAAACTTAAAAACCATAATGCAGCTTTAAAACATAGAATACGATTTAAGCAGATACGTATTTTCGGTAAATTTTCACCAGGCCTCAATAGAATTAAGTATTAGTCATAGACATCAGAAACAATATGGACCAATAGAATCATGTAGAATGTTAACACTAGTAACGGTAGCGGGGGGGGGGAATAACTACTGTCGCAGAGAGGTTAGATAATGTAATGATAATAGTTTGTGAAACTAAGATTAAAATATGCAAATTACGAGCAGTATGATATTGATAATACAATTAGCAGTACGGAGAAAAATAATATTTGTAGTTATCCGGTGTTACCGAGAGAGAACTATTCTAGGTTGGAGTGAAAGGCCGCGTGAAGGAGGTAAATTGAACAAGCCTTCTCTGAACACATACATTGGGTTGAAAAATCATTATGCCAACTGCGTCAGGCGTGCAGACGTATGAAATTGAGGTGGTACTTTGTATAGCATTGCAATGGAATTGTAAAGTCAGTCAGGATTTCCATGTTGGTACATCTTATGGATACGGTGATAAGAATCAGCTTAGAATAGTAATCATCATATGATTCGTTGTGTGATCGGGTGACTGCAAAATTTCATTATCTTTTTCCCTACCTTGGTTCTGGGCAAATCACCAATCAGAATACTTATTTTTCTCCGACCTATCCACCTACCAATCAGAACAATCCATTTCCACCTCCCCAGGCAGATTATAACGTGGTTAAGAATACATAAGCATGACGTGCTTTTTCCTAAAAAAAAAACTTTCCTAACAGTCACAGGCCAGATTTTGTCTTTTGATATTAATGTGGCTCAATGAAGTAGAAGGAACCACGGACGAGTGTATGTGCATCTAACATATCAGTCGAGATGTTCATGGCATCAGTATTATTATACTACTCACGCATGAGTCCACCTGGTCATATCAGTTGTCGACGAGTTTATTTCAACTTGTGACATCTATCATAACGAATTAGTGATGGGGTTATTCAATTCAATGTTTTCATAACATACGGAGCACAAGATTAAGAGAAATTCAGCCTTTTCAGTTCCATACAAGGTGCCATCTCGATTCCTTAAATTTGTAAGCCTTCGATTGCTAAGCATAGCTGAGGCAGTTGTCAAAAAAAATTTAAATCCCTCCCCCTCCCATGGCCTTCAATTCCAACTTAGAATTTATATATATATATATATAAACCCAGTAATAGATAGTGAGGTGTGGTACTGCGCTACAAATGTTTTTCTGAAAAAAACCTTGGTGATGTAGCAATTGGTAACTTCTTATTGATTGCAGCACCTCCAAAACCTCAGGATGGTCGGGGGTGGGTGCCTTGCGCTGCGGGTTGGCCACCCCTCCGCACACCTCTTGAAATGCTCCCATATGACCGGGCGTCTGACATAGCCTCTCCTGAGGAAGTCCTACTCACTGCCTTCACGTGGCGGAGGTGTTTCACACCAAATTGAGAGGGCGAAAGCGGATGCCCGGCGCTCTTCACCGGGTTGACTGTGCATTGGATGACAGTCTAGGGGAGATGGCTAAACCCTGATTCCAAGCCTCCAATGACTGGCGTATGAAGCTCACTGGAGCTCACCAGCAGACGTATGGACAAAGGGCTTGTTGGATGTCCTGGATGTCTGGCCCCATTCGAAAGGCGTATGAACCGAACTCCGGTCACCGGCTGCCAATGGATAGTGGACTCCCTACCCCACTCCTACTGCCTTGTAGATCACACTTGGTTGTTTAAAGGCTAGAGCTGCACTCTCAAACAAAAGGCCGAGCGATTTTGGGGACATCACGCGTACCAAATTCCCATGAAACTTCATGAACTCTCTTACAAACGACTCTATTCGAGATGTTCATGAAGCCGGCTCATCCTCCCGTAGGATATAGCCGAAGTAAAGTAAGTAAGTCATGCATGCGGACTCTGCAATAACTATGAGACTGACCTATGTTTGTCAGGTTTATCACACAGTTAAACAGAGCTGTTTACCGGGCCACGCTTCATTGTTTCCACGGTATGACTGTAGTAAATAGTACTCGAAACGCTACTTAGCATACAATTTGTTTCTGTATAATAAATACATCCAGTGAACTGTAATCCTGTGGTCTCTCTTTACTCCTCCTATTTCGCAGCATTATAACTGACATTACGTTTTTTTATAGGTGCTGCAGGATAGTGAAACCATTACATATCCACAGGTTGAAGCAGATAATTCATCTATTGCAGGTGAAAGTCCGAAAGACGATGAACATACGTTCGTGTGAGTGCTAGAGATTTTAGTTAAGCATTTTTTTTTTGAAACAAGATTTTGGTTAATGATAAATACGTTATCACTGAAATATGTTTTTGTGGAAACCATTGTTTATATCTTGTTGACAGGCATACTGTATCCATTTCCACCCTTTAGATTGATTAGTGAGCGTCATTGCATGAGGTTACTCTAGCGATCTCATTCTTCAATCGCTGAATGGTGTCAGTTATTTCTTTTTGAGGCCAATTGTTTCAATAGTAGGAGATGTCGCTGAACTTTCCAATTTTCAAAATTAATTTGTTGTGGATGGTTGCGAAAATAATCAGGCACTACTGACATGATTTCAAAACTATTACTATATGATACTGTTGTGTTACATTTCATCTCTGAGTCTTGCATTTTAACCGAAATGCATAGGAAAACAAGCGATATTGGTCTCTTCAAAGCGTTCATTTTCTAATCCAAATATCTTTTGTAAGTGAAGGAACATTTTAAGTAACAATAGGCTAATTGCTTACCCTAGTGACTGGTTCAATTCATCCGTTTCCTGTTAGCTGCGAAATATCTTTGTTTTCTTAGGTAGATTGTAGATCTGGATTGTTTAAGGTGTCTGTTGGCATCAGTTCTTGGTTTCTACAAATTATTTGACCACCTTCGAGTTTCCAGCTTATAACTCTTGTTACGTTAAGGTTCCTCCAGTGCAAGCTAGGATATTCCAAAAGAAGTGAATTTATATATATATATATATAAAGTTTCCTTTAATTCCTAGAGGAACATAGGGCTTCAGCCGCACGTCTCCATTGCGTTCGGTTCTCCGCCAACGTTTTCACCTAGCTTCACGTCTGCCTAAATGCTCTCATCTCCTCTTCACATGACCTCCTCCATGTCACCCTCGCACTGACGACCAACTCGCCGCTTCCCACTTGGGTTCCACTCGAGAGCCTGGCGTGTGATGTCACTTGGTGGTATTCTCAGAGTATGGCCAATCCACCTCCAGTTCCTCCTGCATATTTGTTGCACAATCGGTTCTTGCTGGGTTGGTTCGCTCATTGCCAGAGATCCCATCCTGTTGCTGATCTTTTCTGGCCAGCCATCTAATCTTGAGTATTGAGCGAAGACAGATGTTGATGAAAGTCTGTAGTTTGTTCGAAGTGCCCCTCGTGATGCGCCAAGTCTCTGATCCGTATGGTAGCACTGACTTCACATTGGAGTTGAAAATCCGGATGTTAATTTTCATGCTGAGTGCTGTTGACCTCCACACAGACTTGAGAGAAACGAAAGCTTGTCTTGCTATTCCGATTCTTGCTTTGATGTCCTCGTCAGTTCCGTCCACCTGTAGTTGAAACGATGCTTCCCAGGTCGGTGGGTAAAGGAGGTTGCTTCTTTCAGATTTCTCCCATTTATGCTGATTGCTGTCTTTTGCTGTTGTCCAGGAATCTTCATCACTTCTGGTTTCTCTATGTTCGCCTGAAGGCCTATTTTTGATGCTTCTTCTGTCAACTTGTTTCTTTCCACTTGCATACCTCCAAGTTTGTGGGAAATCAGACATATATCATCGGCGTCCATATCCTCTAAGTATTTTGTGTGGGTCCATTTTATGCCTCTCTCCTCGTTGCCTGCTGTTTCTCGCATTATTTAGTCTACCGCAATCAGCAGAATCATTAGCGATAGTAGGAATCCTTGTCTTACTCCCTTATTCGCTTCGAAGGATTCCGTGAGTTTCCCGTTGTGGATTACTTGGCATGCAGCATTGTCGTACAACTGTTGGATGAAGTGTATAATTGTTGGCATCACCCTGTAGTAGCGATGTAGTTGCCAAATCCCCTGTCGATCGACTGTGTCGAAGGCCCTTTTAAAGTCAATGAAGTTGAGATAGAGAGCTGACTGCCATTCCAAGCTTTGTTCAATGATGATCCATAATGTGGCTATCAGATCAATACATGACTTGTTCCTCCTAAATCCAACCTGTTCCGGTCGAAGTTTTTCATCCAAGGCGTTTTTGATTCTCTCCAGGTTGATGCGGCTTAGTATTTTGCTTGGGATGGACAGGAGCATAATTCCGCACAGTTCTTGCATTGACTTAAGTCTCCTTTCTTCGGCAGTTTGAATAAGTAACCTTTCTTCCAATCCGCAGGTATCTTGCCTTCTTTCTACACCCTCTCCAGTAGTGGCGTCATCAAGTCCGTTGATGTCTCTGGCTCCGTTTTCAATGCTTCTGCTAGGATTCCATCTGGTCCTGCTGCTTTTCCAGTTTTTAGCACCTTTATTGCCTTCAGGATTTCTGTTCTCGTCGAAGGGTTGATGTCCACTGGCAGTTCTGCTTCCGCTGTTGGTATTATTGGGAGCGTTGTAGGTGGCGGTCGATTTAGAAGTCTTTTGAAAAGTTCAGCCCAGTGTTTCCTTTGCTCTACTTCTTTGGTGATAGACTTCCCATTGTCATCCTTCACTGGCTTAATTTGTGTTGAAATCTTCCCCGATAGGAACCTTGTTGTTTGGTAGAGTGATGTGAGGTCTCCTTTGCCTGCTGCTTCACTTGCCATGGTTTCATAGTACTTTCTTTTGTCTTCTCTGGCACTCTTCTTTACTCTTTTGTTCAGTGTCTTGTAGCTTGCGTTCAAATCCTGCTTTTGTTGCTCGTCGATGCACTGGATGATCTTTTGTTTCAACATCCTTCTCTCTTCTATTAGTCTCCATGTGTCTGTAGTGAGCCACTTCTTCTTTCTGTGCAGAAATTCCATGTCGAAAACAGGGAGACAGACACAGCTTTCAGGTTGTTCCGGTGCTTTTCAATTCTGGTTTCTTCGCTAGTGTTGATTTGTGTCTCCGCCTTTTTCTTTATGATTGCAGTGAAGATATCCTTTGTATCCTGATCCTTCAGATTTTGAGTACTGAACTTGGTTTTTGCTCTATGTGCAGCTCCTGTTTCCTTGATAGCTTTAAATTTGATTTGGAGTGTCCATGTACGAGATAGTGGTCTGAGACAACGTCTGCTTCTCTTCTACTTTTGTGTCCAGCAGCCTGCGCCTCCACTTCCTTGAGATTGAGATGAAGTCAATGTGATTTTTGGTTCGCCCATCTGGTGACACCCATGTAGCCCTGTGGATATCCTTGTGTTTGTATACGCTGCCACCAATCACTAGATCATTGAAGGCACAGAAGTCAGCGAAGAGTTCTCCATTTTCATTCATTTCTCCGAGAGCTTCTCTACCCATGATGAGTTCTCTTTCTGTGTTTTCTGGTCTCAGTTTGGCGTTCATGTCTCCCATTAGTATTGTAATGTCACCAAATGGAGTATTGTCCATTGTTACCTCTAGTTGTTTGTAGAATTCTTCTTTCTTTTCGAGGTTTGCGTTGTTTGTGGGTGCACAGTATTGTATAACTGACACTTCCCTTCCTTTTGAGTTGAATCTGGCGGTCATTATCCTAGGCGAGATCGCCTCCCATTGTATCAGAGCCTTCGTTGCCGTTGGTGACATCATGATAGTCACATCCTCGGTGTGCTCATGGTTGTATTGTCGGTGAGCAGAGTAGATCACTGGCTCTCCCGTTGACAATTTTGTGGGTTCACTCCCATTCTATCTGCTTTTACATAATCCCAGTAATTGAATATCATATCTTATCATCTCATTTGCAATCTGGGCAGCTTTGCCAGTCTCATACATGGTGTGGGTGTTCCATGTCCCCACACCGACTTTTTCTTCTGGCTCAAGGAGACTTATCGTACTGAGGTTTTTGTAGTAGCTTTGTTTACATGGGGGGGAGATCGTTAGCCTCACTCCTGAGAGGGGGTTGTTGCATGTATATGTAGTTTACAGAGGAGCGGCTTTATGGGTAACTCCCTTTAGAATCAGGAAAACAAGGAATGAAGCAATCAGAACAACACCAGCAAAAGGAAGAAGTTGGCAACAGGAAGGGGAGCGACAACAACAACAAAAAATCGTAGCAGTAGTATCACTGTCAAATACGGTTAACAAAAATAATATCAAAACCAGAGACTCACTGTCTTGAGTCAACTTTGGCATGTAAATTCCAACAATCCAATTACAGATATTAGTGTTAAACAGTCACAAAATGCCAAATAGTTATAGGTATTAACAGTCAACAAGATTACATCCATAGATTCAGTGTTCGAAGGTAAACAAATTACAATTAATTCCACAACTTCCTCGCCATAAACACCAGAGAAATGAGACTTTTATGTAACTAAGCAATATATATATATATATATATAATCAGTGTTCACACCTCTGCTGGAATTGTCGTGAATGGAAACAAAACACGGACAGTAATTTTGCTCGAAATATTACCAATAAAAAAACTCACCATTGTGTGTAAGCCATTGAAATATAATTATACTTTACTTGTGCAACAAGTACTTTATACATGAATACCGGAGCTTTTAATTTAAAAAGCAAGCGCAAACATACTACAACATAAAAAACAACACAACTGATCACACTGGATGCCTTACACTCAACAAATGTTTACGAAACATCATCCTCACCTTCGTGTTTGCTGAAAGGATATAAACACGGAACCCAACTTATGGCAACGGTGAATGTGATTCATTGAGTTAAGCAATGAATTGTAGCTGGTGGGCTTGAATTGGCCTAATCGAATCCAGCGTGAACAACTGACAGTATCATCAAGAAATAACTTTGGCTTATAGTTTGGTGGTTGATAAATTCCGTACCGGATAACTGAGTTCTAACTAACATCGGTCGAAGATACCGTAGTCTGAGTATCTGTCGACTGAAGTTGCTTGCATGATAACCGAAGGTTGTTCCTTGCACTTATTTGTTTACTCTTTATTGGACGCAAGAGAAGAATAAGTGACATGTTTTCACCGCCGAATGCGCGGTGATAAATTTTGACTTGAAGCTCCATCAGGACTGTGAGATAATGAAGCGTGGATGAATTATCACTGGTGTGGACACAAGTTCGCTCTTAATACTATTTATCTTTTGAAAGACTTGGCAACATGTCGGTCATTTTAAATCACTTCACAATGAGTTTCCAACAAATGATTCTTCCTCTACTGAACTTCCGCCCTTTGGCAACCTACGCTTACCAACGGGGCTTAAGCCGACAATGAATTCATGAACTTTTTCTGTCTGCCTACCCTTAACTCTTTTTGACTTAATCCGACTTCATTCAACATTGTTCAATAAGTTGATCGGCATACGTGACATATGTTTTAGACACGTCCATAAATGACCACACTGATTGATTTACCTCTGTGGACTAAAAACACTCTATGCCTAACTTCAGTAGTGCTAATCATGCTGCCAGCAATCTCTCTTCTCTGTATCACACCTAATTTCACTGGTCATTAATCACAAATAAGAAGTACTGAAGTAAAAACGTCCGTCCCTTGGTAGCGAGATATCATATCCTCAAAGGTGATGCAAGTTCGCGAGTAATTTGCACACATGCTGAAATTTCATCAAAAAGTAATCATTTAGTGTTTGCGAAGTGGTGAACGCATCCAATCAGTTCACTTCACTCGAAGCAAACCGATCCTGTATTATCACCTTGTGTTAGATAATAACCAAGAAAAGTTCTGATGCTTTATCATCGTCTTGATTGTCATTTATTACCTCGTTTGCCCAGATTTTTGATTTTGCAGTTTCGTTACTAATTCTAACCCTACTCGGAAGTTCATTTACTGTCTCTTCACCGAGGATAACTGTTTATCATTCTACAAAAACTAGAGTATCCAATTAGTGTGTGACAGTTATGTAACATCTTGAACAGATTGTAGAACATTTTACAGAGCTCCAACTACTTATGTTATGATTTCATACCTTTGGTCTTAAGTAGAAAACTAATTAATCGTGTGAAAAACGACCTATGAATCCTCTATGCTATTTACTACTGTTTGATTGATATGAATGGTTAGAAACCACTTATACCAGCCCGTAGTGCTGGCTAACTGGATCGAAGTAATTTGCACTGTGAATAGATGTTTCTCTTGCTTGGGGTACAGCCCATCAGCACCATGCCCCACCTGACTCAGCTCAGCAAGTCATAGCAACCAAACCGCCTGAGTCAACGCTAGTTACTTTGGCGAACTGGAAATACACTGAATCAGGTTACATAGTTCAAAGTCAGATTTCACCCTAGTTTCCTTCAGAAACACAAATAATTCAGTTAGTATATTGTGATCTGCTTGAAAACGTAAACGGCAATCAAGAAAGCAAGCATAAACGCATGATGGTATATATTACTGGTTGACTGATATGAATAAAAGCACCTTATGTCTGCACATTCTACACTATACCATTTAACTGTTCATATATTGTATAACATAGGTACTAAATGTAATGCCTTTATTCAGTTATTTCTCCTAAACTAGCCATTGCACAGACTCAACACACACCTAGTACTGCGAACGACGTAATGATTAAGAACCTGATGCCTAAAACAAGCCACCCTCATTTCACGGCGGTGGACTTGGCAGTACAGTAGAATAGAGCTCTCTGATAACGAGTACAATATGTCGAGACTTCCCTCCCAGACGGGGACTGACGGGACCAAATGGAGATTCAGGTTTGGAGGTATAGACGGAAATGTCAAACGTTGATGGGTATGTTTGTCTTATTAACCTATTGATGAAAGTTGACAATGTGAACACACAAGCCTCACCAGTGTTTGGAATTCGGCTGATTGTTCCAGATTCAGTGTTCCCTAGCTCCACATAACCTTCCTGTGACTAAGAAATCTAGGATCTGGAACAATACTCGTCCTGTGCCCATGACGTAGGGGCTTGTCCTTTTACCTCGGTCTTCCCCTCACAAACCTATGCGTTGGGTGATTTAGTCCATACTTCACTGTATTAATCCCTGGCCATTTTTGACTTCAGTGTATATGCCACCTTCCCGATTTGTCGTGTTTGAGATCTTAGGTAAGATGTGAGACTTCGGAGACAGTTGGCTGGCGTGCAGGTTGTCAGTCCTGATGAGTTAGTGAAAGTCCATATATTTTCACGTACGGTAATTTCTGTATAGGACATCTCGGTTAGTCTTACTAAAGATCAGGTGTCACTCAATGTTTTAAATGCTACTACTTGGCTACTCCAACCTTCGTTGGTGTGGCTGTATCAAACACTTTGGGGCTGTAATTATAAGTGGAGGGTGAGCCGACTGCTTCTTAGCTCTCGTCACAGCAGGCGAACTTTCAATCCTTCTGTTCAGAAACCACTGTATGGTCTCTGCACAATCAAGTTTTCTTACTGTTCACCGTGTACTGAGAATTCGCAGAAGTAGGTGTTATAATTTGCAATACATATACCTTTTTATGAAATCAGCTATTTATTAATACGTACTTCTATTTTCATTAGATAACAGATGGACGGATTCGGGAACGACTTCGCACTAAAGTGTCAGCAGTATTATGCGTATTGAATAAACTGAACAGACTTTTGTATGCATAGTTTCCCAATATTTCACTTCTTTCGAGATTGTTAATTTTGTAAAATAAATCTGATTTTATAGCTTATGATATTCATGCTTTGTTTTTCCTTTCATGCCTTTGCTTTTAATCCTAGCCAGCATCGATACTACGATTGTTTGACATCAGTAACACCAGTATTCATGCTTTTAATTCTTACTATATTATGACGGCAATATCCACTCAAACATGTTAATTTAAAATACAATTGAAGTATATCATAGACAATTGTACACAGTGATGGTGCCTCATAATAATAACAGCGCGGTTTCGTTTCTCTTATTATAAATTAGCATGTTAAGCTCAGTTATATTCAGTTGTACTGCTAATGTTCTGAAATCACCATTCACGTATTTTCTTAAGATACTCAACAACCATTAGTGGGTTGGTGACAAAATTTCAACGCGGATATCAGTATCTAGTTGACACTTGTCATCTTCAGCACCGACATGATATTAATAGGGTAAAAGTAATATGCAGCAAGCAATCCACCTCCCGAATGACATGACCATTCGCAGCAGAAATTACCATAAAATGATAGATCACGACCAACAGACATCTGTCATTTCTCACAAGGCTAATAGTGTATAACAGATTCCCTTCTTTTCGGGCAGTAGATGTTGTTGTAAATGTAGTCTTAAGGTCGACTGGCCTCTGAATATTCCTTAACAAAAGGCCTAAGACTTATAGTCGCGTATGATCTTCCGGCTTACACTGCTTTAACATAAAAAAAATTCTCTTATAAACAGTGTGCATGTCCCGACTAGAGGTCGTTAAACTGGGTAGATGTTATGAGTCGAACTTAAGTGGCCTCAACATGTCGCTATTTTTTGTACTTATTAATCGTTTGGGTAATGTAAACGCATACTTACAGCGAAGTTCGCACTATTTCTTATATAATTTCACGGTGTACCACATAGAAAACAACTAGTGCATAATTCCTCATGGTGTTCACTTCAAAATACGATTTATTTACATAAAAGTTAAGTTGCTTGTAAGGGCACGGTGCAGCAGTACTTTCATCTGCAGTGACATTATATATACTTCCGCATTACATCCAGACATGCATAAGTAGCTAGAGTAGGTTTAGCTTAGGGGTGTAGACTTTTACACGGCAACTATAAGCTTATACAAAACACTTATCGCCTACTTTAGTGCCTGAAAATATTGATGACCAAGTAAAGACGGAGTTAAATTAAGCTCTCTACTTCTTCCTTAGTTCATATCACCGAAAACTCAACAGTACTGGAAGTACTTTAAAGCAGATAGACACGTACTACACACCCTGATAATCTGTAAAGCGTGTCGATGGGATCTGACGAGGTAAAGACCTGATCTTATACTTCAATAAAATCCATTCAGTCTGGTGGAGACATACACCTGTTTTTTAAAACGTCCTTCTTAGTTCAAATACAGCTCGTGCATTCTGTGAATAAGCGGTTAGCATAAGACATGCAAGGGAATGCAATAACTTCACCATGTATTCTAAGTCAACGCTGGGGAAAAGTCAGGTACATTTTGGAAACTATATTTAAAGAGGATATTTTTTATCAAAAGAGACACAGCACTTAAAAATACGTATCATACACTGTACAATGTTCGGGAAAAACGTATGCATTCACTGGACGGTGATAAATTCAGGAGGCATATGTCCTGAGTTTCCTAGCCACCTCAAAGTAACTCGCCCATCTGGTCGAATCACCATCCAAGTAATACTGCCGTGATCAAGAGAGAACCTTATCCATGCTTCAGGTGGAAACTGCAGAGCTCGACACACGAAGTAGCGAATAACATTCGCATGACAAACGAATACCTCATAGGTATCCGTTTCTTGTTCTTCATCTGCACGGTGGACATGGCATTTGAATGCATCCTCGATCCGTGTACCATCCTCCTGAAGATCTTTCGGTGTTGGATTGTAATGCGGTAAAGGAGGCTCTAGTAGGTAGGGAGCACCTTCACGTAGTGAACTTAAAGGTTCGGCAGGAACATTGGGTAGGTGATTTAAGACCAACTCCGCTGATTCTATAGCGCGTGTCATTGTAGAATAATATAGTTTTTGGTAGGGTAAATTGAGCTCCTTCAGGCGTAAACCAGTGCAATCAAGCTGTTGTCTTCCCAACCCTGTCAAGTGACAGTCTGCATCATCTTTTGCATAATGGTACTGGCCATGTCGAATAAACAAAAGGTGACGAGTGTGTCTGGACTTTGTACGGACGTTTTCACCATCTACGGATGAGCTTGGAGTTGCATGAGTTACGTGTCTGCCGTCCCAGTTCCAATCCCATGGCTTTACTTTAACATCTTCACCACTTAAAGCATGGGCACTTAAAAGTGAGGGCAATCTTTTATGGAAACTCGTGGCTTTCTTCTGCAAACGTTCGAAAAGTGTCCACGACTGGTCACTTCCACTGGAGTTACTGAAGCATGTCAATTTTGTCCCGATTACCGCCACACTGGCAACACAGCAACCTAATCGTACAGCTTTGTTGAAGAACATGCACTAATCTAATTTGTTTTTTTCTAGGCAATCCAACAAACAGTTTAGATCACATTAGACAAGAGTTAGGAAATGATTACATATACCAGGAGAAAAGGTTACACAAAAAGTTGCGTACTTTTTGAACTTTGGCGCACAATAAGCTGCAATGTTCAATATACGGTGTGATGAAAATTCATTTGTCAGTGACCCTGGCATAAGCAAAATAAATTTGTCTGCTGTTTGAAAGATCATTTTGTGAAATTCACCGAAAACATTCAGCACGGGGTCAGAAACCTCCGATAAACTTCCAATGTGACAAATTTCATATCTTTCAATTTCCATTATCGCTTTTTATGAGCTAAGGCAAACTAAGTTCATTTGTCTCCCTGCTCGAAAGTTATATGTCCCTGGCCTTTTGTCAACTTCTGTGTAGTCTGTCCCTTCACTCGACAGTAGAAGCACTGGTTAACTCCTAAAGGAGTGGTGCAGGGATTGACTTCATGCGGTTGACATTTCACATAATGGTATACTTACTGACTATGGCTTTATACACTGTTGTCTGGAAGAAGAGAACACAACCCGAGCCTGACCTTTGAGAGACGATAGCAGCATGCAGTAACATCCTTCAACGCTACCACCCGATAGCCCTGTTTCTTCGTGAAGCCGTATGATTAGGACAGCACGTTCGTACTCTTATTTAAAAATCGATAAGTATCCTTCCATTGTTGATTCCGACAGTGTATAGTAATTCACCAGTAGCTGCTGAAGCAGGTACTTTAGAAAAATAGAGATAAGGGCCTGCCTTTGACTTTCTGAACGCGTATCAGAGAATCTTTTATGACGTTTGTTTGCGTGATCCAAACACGTAATACACCATTAACTCAGCAAATTGATTCTCCGGCATGAGGAACGACCTAGAAAGCTCAAACCTCTTTCAGCCCACAAAAGCCATAAGTATTGACGGTTAAAATCTGAAATACATATTAATGGGGAAGCCGTAAAAGTCTGTAATCAATAAATGATGTCAACAAATAAGCAATATCCCCTGTTTACAAACGCTGTGTCAATCCTGTAACACTTGGCATCCTTTTCATACAGTGTCCAAAAATTAGTCAAACCAATAATTGACAGCCCAAAATAGGAGGCTGATATCGCCGTAGAGATACAGAGCGATGATGGTTGCTCAACTAGCTAGGGACCGAACTTAGTGTGACAACCTGTCAACTGATGGAGGTGCTTAACCTCGTGTTTTCGACCTGAGTGGTCTATTTAACGGTTAACCTTCATCATCCAAATTCGTGCATGAAATGATGTAGACCAGTATTTTCGGTGATTATTTAACACTGCATCTCACTATCCCCCAGTGGAATCGTGAGTACTTAACGAAGGTACCAGTTGGTATCAATGAGCTAGTGCTGGTTAAATTAGTAAAATCCCTCCTATTGTTGCGACTGTGGTAGTTTTTCTTCCGGGCGTCTGCTAACACCTTTATGATGTATGTACATAGATTCTTTTAATGTCCGTCAGTTGGCTTCTGTTCTTCATTTGCTTCCTCCCTAGTGCCCCTCTGATCTGGAAAAGAGGACAAGAAGTCTGAAAATTCCGCTGAGGAAATTAATAAAGTGATTAAATCGGGACATACATACACAATACACAAAAGTACACAAAAAGATGATCTAGGAAAATAATATCAAATTTCGAAGCACTTGACAGGGCACATGTAAAGTCATAAAAAATACATTGAAAATGTTGTGCGGAGTGCAGTCGAAAACAATCTACATGTGTGAAATAAGGTGCCCTAGACACAATAGTTTCTAGTTCCAAGTATGAGCCAAGTTCACCCTAGTGTTGGGATAGGACTCAAAGATATATCTATAAGGTGCGTCATTTTTGGACGAGCAGTCTCTGTGACCAATATTGTCCGTTGAATTGGCAGCCTTAAACCTACGTGGGTATCTCGCCCAATGAACACTTTAGTGATACCGTCTGTCGGTCGGTCGGCGGCGGCGCACATCCATAAGCAGATGTCACGTCAACAATATGGAATATCTGTTGGTCTGAATAAACCCTCCTAAAGATGAACATATCTCCTCTCGAAGTTTGCGATGGAATCTCAGTTTGGCAGCCTGTAAACGAAGGCAAGTCACTCTGTGGATGATAGGACATTTACTGCTTCGCTAGCCCCAAACAAGTATCGGCTTTTGTAAAGAAATTATGTAAAGTAGGTGGCTACTGCCACCGGCTGCCTCTGGCTTTTCTATCTGATCTTCCCAACAGTTTACTGCAGCGGTAGTCTGGAATAATGTCAAGGTCTACTGTATTAATCGACAGCTACTTAATACAATAGTGTTGCAGTGACTGCACTGGAAACTTCGGACGAAGAAACGAACCTGCAGACTATAACCTTATATACAAATCAAAACCCAATTAATAACAGATGGAGACATATCATAAACCAACATGTTCAGAACAACAGTTGTTTTGTTCAGTAAACCACATCAAGCGATTACAATAAAACCATCAGACTACAGGTTGTACGACGTCCACATAAAAAGAACACAATGTC